TATATATTACCAGTAGCTAATAATATCATTTAACATTATTCAATGAAAAAGCAGCTAATGAACTTATTAATATTCCTATATCAAATGATACAGTAAGTTGACGAATTCATGAAATGGCAAATTCCATAAAAGAGACACTTATTTAAAAAATAAAACACAGTGAGTATTTCACATTGCAATTGGATGAAAATACTGATATAATGAACTTTATTCAATATGTTCAAAATGTTTGCATACATTTCAAAGACGATAAACGAATTGCCAAAGAGCATTTATTTTGTGAATCTCTTCATGATAGAGCAATTGCAAATGAAATTTTCAGAAATTTTCAAAGTAATTGACAATTTTATGTCAAAGTATGCTATTCCTTGAAATAAGTGCATTGCTTTATGCAGCTATGAAGCTCGGGCTTGAAAAGGAAAACATTCTGGTGTTATTTCTCAAATAAAGAAAGTCGAACGTAAAACTAAATTTACTCGCTGATCCATTCATCGTGAAGCTTTAGTAAACAAAACAATCCCCAAAACCTGAAAATCGTTTTGAATCAAGCTGCGAAAACTGCAAATTCTATTAAAAGTGAAACTTTAAATTCAAGGACATTTGCAGTTTTATGCCAAGACATGGGCAGTGAACATGAAACGCTTATGTTAAATTCCAAAGTAAGATGGTTATCCAGAGAGAGTTTTAAATTGTCTTTTTGAGCTTCGATCAGAATTTAAATTTTCCTCTGTGATTCAAAAGTTTAATTGCAAAAATGTTTATTTAGTGATTTATGATTGGCATGTTTAGCATATATAGCTGATATTTTTGGAAAGTTAATGAATTAAATTTAGGATTACGAGGACAAAGTGTTAAATTGTTTACCATTAGAGATGGAATAAATTCAATGATTTAAAAAAAAAAAAAAAAAAAAAAAAAACACCCTCGAGCTAATAATCAAGCAATTGAATAATGATATTTTAAGCTTTTCACCAGATTTAGAGAATTTTCTAACAGAAGAATTAGCATCCAACATTAAAAATATTTGTTCTTCATTGATAAATAATTTTAACATATATTTTCCCCAAGGATTATGAAAAAGAAAATTGGATTAGAAATCCATTTTTTTTCAAATGTACCTGAAATTTTATCTCATGAAGGAAAGGAATAATTGATGGAAATTTTTTGTGATCGAACTCTAAATGAAGATTTCAAAAATAACACACTTGTTAAATTTTGGGTAAACCCAAAAAAGAATTTAAAGGCATTTTAAATAATGGTATTAAAATTTTATTGCCTTTTTGCACTACTTATTTGTGTGAACAAGGATTTTCAACAACAAGGAGGGACAATCTTATATTTGAAAAATAAATACAGAACAAAATTAAAAGTGGATCCTAATTTATGGTTAAAACTAAGTGAACACTATACATAAAAAAATTGATCTCTCTTAAACAGGCCCAAAATTTGCCCTACATTAAATTTTAGAATTAAAGTATAACTTAAATTTTGATAATTAAAATGGTTACCAATTTTTAATCTATTTTTTAATGTGTGCATATTTAATAGGTTGTGTAAATGACAAAATACTTTTTTTTTTAAATATTTCTATTGAGAACCTGAAAAATAAAGGTAAATAAAAGGTAGTGATGGTACTAAAGTTTTTCAGTTTTTGTTTAGATGGTGTGTGATTGTTAAAAGGTGAACTGCTGATCTAAAGAATAAACCTCTAATTAAAAGCAGTAGATCGCATATTATATAACTTTCCCTTCAGGAAAAAGGCCACTGAAGAGTAGTATTGAGATATAATTTAAACAAAATAAATTGGTGTATGCATATATTTTTATAAAACTTCTCTGGCTGATCATCCCGCGATTTCCATGGGCGACTCAAATGTAGCAAAATTTGCTCATCCCGCGAGCATATGTTTCTCTTCCTTTATTGAGGAGTGCATCCCGTTTAACCACTGAAATAAATTATATACAGTATTAGGCATTTAGTTTACGTTTTGGCCAACAGATATCATTAGTTATCCACTAAATTGCTGCATTTGAAGGCGCTCAAACTTCACTTTTTCCGCTTTTTTCTTACAGAAATGGCTACTAGGAAATGTTCAGCGATTATCTTGATTATTTAATTGAATTATTAATTAGATTTATTGAATCTGGTGCAAAGACTGTGAAGTTGGACTTTGCCTTGATCCCCGTTTTGAACTTTATCATACTAAATTGCATTTCTAAGGTATTTTTCCCTCAGCGCTTTATATTTTCTTAAATTTTATACATTTTACTTTTTTATATTATGCAATAAATAGAAATTACCTGTAATTTGACTGAAATTTATTTAAAAAAAGATTGTTTTTTGTGATAACATCTGAAATTGGTTTTTCTGGCAACTTAGTTTCTCATGATAAAAATCTATATAGAAAAATATTTTCTAGAAAGAAAAAGTGCATTTATCAATTCTCCAATATATATAGATTTAAAATAGGGGAGAAAAAAAAAAAAAAAAAAAAAAACGCAATTTTGGTCTACAAATTGAGCAGTCAGAGGGTTAATCTTTTCCTAGGTAATTAGAATTACAAAATGTGCTACTTTTCACCATATAAAACTTTGATTGCAATCAGCATTAAAAAAAAAATCAACTGATTAAAACCATGAACACTTTCACCCTATATAACAAAAAAAATTTCCAGTTTGTATCATTCATACAGGTTTAGTTTTATGAAAGCAGAGTATTAAAAAAATTATTTAATACAGTTAATTTTTTTTAAATTTCATTTAGTCTTTTATATGTGCTAATTGTATGATTCTATATCCCATCACATTTTAAGAATGTTAAATAAATGGTTCGGTGGCCAAGTATACAAAGAATCATTAACACATGGAGCATCATAACAAAAAATTATATAATATGAGACCTACTACCTTTAGTTAAATGCTGCTACTAAAACTGGTTGTTTTAATCATTTCTTTTTCTCACTATTTATTGCACCTTCTGAATACGAAAGCTACTGAAATTTAAATTTAATAGAATCATTTTAAGTATTCTTAATTATTTACATTTATTTTCATATTTAAAAAACTGCTTTTGCGACATCTAAAAAATAAATAACTAAAAATGGCAGATAGCTACTAAATATATTCCCAAACAAATAACATTTAGATCTTTTTAGACTATAGTTAATTTGTATTCATTTGGATACTTACGGTTCACGTAGACAAAAAAAAATTCTGCCTTTTACATATCATTAAAACCATTACTTCATTCAATTTTGTATAGAATTTGTTTCTTCTAATATGGGGCTAAATCTACCTGTATGTCATGGTATTTAAACTAGAACAGTGGCCTGATATGCTAATAAATTTGTGCACTTGGATACAATTGACATTTATATAATGAATTTTCTTCCTACTTTTGAAAATAATTGCAAAAAAAAAAATTGACACCTAAAATACATGACAGATAAAATAATATTACACATAACTATAAAAGTCTCAATATAATTCCCACTCACCCGTAACACAAATATACAATCAGCTTTGGAAAAAAAGGGGGGGGGAATGCAGTACTGAGCATAAAAGTACTCAAACTCATTCTGTTTAAATTGCAAAACTGTTGGAATCATGCAACAATTAAACATTTATCAAGAAATCGTTTTCTTATCACATAAAAAATATATCTCCTTCTCCATACTGTTTTTATTGCATTTCCCTCTTCTCCATTAATTATAAAACTGCCTCATAAACTTCTCTCCAAAAATTCAACTTTCCTGTGATTTTTCTCATATCTGTATAGATATTTCTCTCATAAATTAATTTTGTTGTTTTATACTTAAAGACTTTTTCTAGATTTCTTTTAAAATGTCCTTTTAAAATGATTTCTCTTCAACACATTTTCAACATAAAAGTTTTTGGCAACAACGTATTTACATGCTATCTCCAAAACTCAGCATTATGCAAAAAACACAATTAACTTAATGCAAACTTATGAAAAAGCTAACTGTGCAGAAATTACACAAAACATATAATTTGTGAGACATTTTTTTCACATTATCATAATTTAATATCAATAAAACAAAATTTGATGCATTTAAATTAACCAGGGAAATAAATCGTTTGAAAAAATGTATACACGCACACACTTTTAAATTCGGTGACATAATCTGCAACACCGCACTTTCAGATTTCAAATAATTCTAGAAGTAAAATTTGATATAGTTACAGTTTTCGGGGAAAAGGAATAACAGAAGTAAATAAAGTGAATCATAACAGAACCTGAAATTTCAATAATTTTGATAGTTTTCTGCATCATGCAAGTCTCATAAAATTTTAATTTTTCATAAAATTATACAAACAAGTCATGGGATTTAAAATCAATCAAAGACTATTTTTTTACATTTTGAGAATAAGGACAGAAAGAGATGTTTTTAAACCGAACTATCCAAACATGATAGTGCTTGAAAAAATTAGTATATATACAGCATCTAAATAAATTACCTTTGTTTCACATTTTATACAATGTAAAAACTGTACCAAATCTGACATTTTTTTATCATTATAATAACTAGTACTAATTAAAAAGCTTTTGCTCAGGACTAATGATTCTTCATTTATTAACAGTAGTAGGCCTAATTCGAAAGTGTAAAACTTTCCTTTAACAACGGAAGTTTTTTAAAACTAAATTATGTCTTCCGCCCCCTTTTTTTTCCAATATTAGCTCCGATTAGAAAAGAAATAATACTTTCATAACATAATCTCAAAGCATTCATTTCGCTAAAAGGAGACTTACTGATTACTAAAAGGAGACATAATTATACCTGCACCGATTATGTCGGGAACACATTTATAAGATTTATAATCAGTTAATTTCATAGTCTTCGCGATATATATTGTTAAATAAATATATTAATCACACAGGCCTAAATTATAATTCAATACAATACAAAAACAACGTGTATTGACACTGATCTTACACATATTAATCAAATACGAAGAATGAAACAAATCCAATTATTATACCTGCACAACTATTTTTTGATTGATTAAATACAGCAATTATATCATCGTTGCATGAGAACAGTGCAAGTATGGATATGACAATTCACTACTTGCTGATTGCAAGCTTCTCATTCAGATGTGTTATTTACATTAAACATAATACCATAATATGTAAGAACAGCATTTCGAAATAATTCTTACAGAACAATACCTAAAGTTGTACATTTTTTTTAGTATATAACACCGGCAAAATGGATAGAATGTGAACGCTATCACTCAATTTGGCGAGTGAATTTTACCGTTAGGCAACCCACCTTTTATCATCACAGCTACATACAAACAGCGGGTTTTTTGAAATACATAGTGTAAACACACATCACACAATAACGGTTACAACACCTATGTATAACCTTAAATCTTACACATTATGAGATCTACAATTCAATATTTACAACGTGATGCCTTGAGCACAAATCATTTTTCATACAAGCAGATGATTATTAACAATTTCACCAATATGGCGTCTCAAAGCATCACGTGACCATCCAATTTTTACCCTGCTATACCGCTAGATAAAAGACGAATAGCTTTTTAGAATTAAAGTCACATGATGCAGTAACAATAGTTACCCAATCAGCATCTTCATTATAATATTCATCATTTACAATAATTTCACAGAAAAAATTATTAATTTTAAAATTAAAAATTAATAAAATATTTGACTTCGAAGTTACGTTTAAACCACATTTTAATTCCGAAAATGATTTACATGAATAATTTATTTATTTTATATTATTTATTTATTTGTTATTTATTTACATTTTATTACATTCGCTCATTTTATTTTATTTATTTATTTATATTTCTTTTTACGCAATCATATGAATTATATGAATTTAAAATAAAATGCAACATATGAAGAATCACATTACAAATTCACAGAAATATGTGTTCAAGGGCACACATAAAGGAAAGAGGTTAAATTCTTCTTTCTGAAAATTTCTATATATTTTTTCTTTCGTACAAAAATGTATACAAAAACATTATTTCTCATAATAAGCAAGCAAACAGTTACATCAATTCCTGAAATATTTTTAGCTTGATAAGCTTCACAAGATATTTGGGAAGGGGGCCACCACCTTCCAAATTTACACTTTTCAGTGGCGTAGCTAGGATGGGGCAAGGAGGAGCTCTCCCGGGCGCAGCATCCAGGGGCGCCAAACTGATGTTACGAAATTTTAGAATGAAACTTTTTTCATTCTTGGCACACAGAAAGGGGCGCAAGATCTTCAGCTGCCCCCGGGCGCTGAAGAACCAAGCTACGCGTCTGACTCTTTTTATCGGTTTAATGTTGACTTTCCAAATTAATGAATTTTAGCCTTTACTACACAACTTAGCTGTTTCGCTAACATAGCAAGTTTAAGATAAATTCAACGTAAAGCGAATATTTTAGAGAACTTTTTTTGGGGGGGAGGGGGGTGACACGAGAATACACGAAACGTTAGAAGTAAGGATGGATTGAGAAATGAAAGAGAAGGTATTTAAAATTTTGAGGTACTGTATATTTTGATGACAGTGAATGAAAACGATAAAAGTTAAATAACAAGTTATAAAAAGGAACAGTTTAACAAAAGTTATTACTCTAATATTCAATAAATTTTGGTGATTTTTAAAAATATACAATAGCATCGCACTAGCGCTATCACATGGTATCATAGATTCTAATCTGTATTTTTAGCTAAATCTAGTTATTTTATCAATGACTTGAGTTCGAATCTCATATAAGACATAAATATTTTCTGTAACAATCTTTCAGAAGAGTGACACTTAAAATCTGTCAAGTCGAAAGTCCTTTCGAGAGGATGGTGGCAAATGAAAAGATATACGACGTACTCAAAGAGTCCATTCCCGAGCTGCTCTTGTTCAGAACTCTGATGGAGCTCATCAGGATGAATAACCCTCTTGTACTTTTCTATAATTAATAATAATCCTACTTACATTTAAACAAGCAAGTATTTTTAATATCCATTGAAACTCATATTTAGAATAAAATTCGATCGCCCACTTTATATTTAATATAATCATAATTTTTTAGTACAATACATGCAATCAATTCATTTTATTCAAAATTTCAGTTTCATCTATGAAAAATCTATGTCTGACTGTGGAAGCAAATTTTTTTGAGGTCAGCAAAGTAATTTAGCGACGATATGGTTAATTTTAGTAAACAGACATAATACTAAATAAATACATTTTGTAAAACTTAAGGTTATTTTTACTTTAAAATTTTAAATTTTCAACTTTTGAACACAACTTAATATCAGTTTTTAGATGAAAGAACAGATGATGTACATTGAGTATTTTAGAGCCTCATTCACTGAGCTAAAAAAAGATTAAAATCACTATTTTAATGACTGAGCAAAATAACTGGAAACACGTCGAAAAGTTTACCTTAAAAATAGAAACCACCAGTGGAAGGGGAAAAAAAAAAAAAAAAAAAAAAGAGTTTCTAATCTTGGGAAGGATTCAGAGAAAGCTGAGGAAATGGGAATTAATATTTTAACTATTAAAAAAAATATGAGAGGGTGCCTTTATGAAGAAATGCTCTTTGTATGGATAAGCGTTTTCAGAGATTTGTCTCTTATCTATAATACACATAAATAACATAATGAAAAATGTGCATTCAATCTTTTTCTGCGGAATCGAACTCCCCCCCCCCCAAAAAAAAAGAAAGAAAGGAACCGTCTGCGTTCAGTGGATTTATTCGCCTGACTAATATTTATTAAGTACGGAGAATGTTGACTTTCACCGGTGAATGTCAACATTCCCATGGTCGCTTGGTGTATGTCCGAAATATTTTCCAAATACTCTTATTTCTGACTTACACCGGTTAATCTCGACATTCACCATGTACTAATGGTGAATGTTGAACATATAAGAATATTATATTCTTCTCCGTAATTCAGTCGGGAAAAAACGCACTTGAGACTTAAAATAAGAACTTAAGACATAAGAACTTAAAACACACATAGTACAAATTCAGAAGTTAAACAACAAAAATCAGCGTTATACCTACAAAATTTTCACAGGACTAGTTTCGATGGTTTTACCGAACCATCATCTTCAGCTGCAAAACCGCAAATGAACAAGATAGGAAATAATGATTATAAGATAAGAAAGAAAGCCTGGACAAGAATAAGCAAGTGGCGCCATCTGTTGGCGAAACCAGAAACTAAAACATAATTTCTCTAAAAGCCGAAGGCAAATTTGGATTGGAATTAGGATCGTTAACTAGAACAGGAAGATTTTTATGAATGTGAAATGCCTCTAGAAAATCCAGTTCTCCAATGGAAGATGTTTTTTGAATAATTTTGGCAGCAGAAAAAATTGAAAGTGTGATTTTCGGACCAACAATGTTGAGCAACAGAAGACTTCTGTGTTTTCCTTTTTTCTAACATATGCCTCATGTTCTTTGACGCGAAATTTTTAAGGCTCTCCTAGTTTGGCCAATGTAAATTAAACCACACTGGCAAGGAATCCTATAAATACCCCAGGAATTCATATCCGGAATGGGGTCCTTGAGTATAGAAGTTGGAATTTTATTGATGGGAGAATAAACAACCCGAAAGTTAAATTTCTGCAAAATATGTGCAACTTTATAGCTAATTGATGGAAAGAAGGGAATGACAACAGAATTTTTATAACCTCCTAAAACAAGAGTGTGCCTTTTAGTGTGTTGAGATGAGAATTTTTTAACTGCTTGATTAATAATGTTGGGTAGAAAGCCCCTGTCAATAGCTATTGCTTTTAAATAATTTAGTTCTTCATCAAGGGCTAGTTTGGAGGAGCAAACTTGAAGAGCACGGAAAACATAGGAATAAAATGAAGCTAATTTTTGTTTAGTCGGATGACATGATTTAAAGTGTGGTGGAAGGCAAACCGATGAAGGTTTACGGTAAACTGTAGTACTGAAGTTGGATGTGTTTACGTGTGACCAGAATGTCGAGAAACGGAAGAGAATTGCAAGTCTCAAGTTAAAAAGTGAACTGAATAGCAGGATCAATAGAATTCATTGTTGAAAGAACTTTATTTAAATCATCTTTATTACCTTCAAACAGGGTAAAAGTATTGTCTACGTAGCGGAAACCACGCCGGGAAGTTTTAAAGTTTCAAACAATTTTGATTCATAATAATGCATGTAGATATCAGCCAGGATGGGACTGAGGGGGGCTTCCCATGGCTAATCCCTCAGTTTGCTTGTAATATTTATTTTGGAAAACAAAATGTGTTTGTTTCAAACAGAGTTGAGTGGAGAGAAATGAGCTCATCAATTTCGATGCAAGAGAAATGAAATTCGCGAAGTCTGGTTTCTAGACATCTTAATGCACCCTCCACTGGGACATTGGTGAATAATGATTTTACATCAAAAGAAAACCATGAGTAAATTACTAGGAGAAATGTTTTTAACCTTTTTTACAAACTCTATTGAAATTTTTATGGTGTAAAATGTTATTGTCTAATAGAGTGGAAAATCTAGAAACTAAAATATTTAGCTAAAGGATACGAGGCAGTACCTAAATTTGATACAATAGGGCGGAAAGGAATACCACTTTTATGAATTTTGGGAAGAGCATATATCTGGCACAATTCGCAACAGATGGGATAAGCGAATGTTTTAAGTTGCTTGAAATGATTTGCGAAGATTTGATCGCAGTTTTTATTTTGGATAAGTCCGAAGGTGAAGGATTTTTAGGGATCGGATTATATGGTCCTTCGTTTTAAGAGTTTAGTGACACCATCGATGTAAGTGTTCTTATCCATGACGACTATCTGGCCACCTTTGTCGGCCTTTTGAAATGATAATATCCGGGTTAGATTAGAATGAATTTCGCGCATTGTAGCTCTTTCTCTCGCAGTTAGATTTGGTTTTCAAAGGTTTATTATTGAATTTCACATTATGAGCGATAAGATGCCTAATCATTTCTTTCTGTGAATCTGAAACTTTACTGAACTTGAAAGCTTTTTCGATAGGAGCCAAAATCTTTGGAATCGAGGGTTTACAGGTTTGTGAGAAGTTAAAATTATATTTTAGAATTCTCTCTTGTTCTTCTGAAAGACTAACATTAGAAATATTAACTATTGGCTTGATGTGTACAATGGGAAGATTTTTGAACTACTTGAACTGAACTACTGAACTGGAAAACTGTAAAAGAAGTTTTTCGAATTTAACTGCAAGGGTGTTTTTATGACGGTTAACTGCATTCTCCGTTCTAGACCAAGACTTTTGTTCAAGGGCAGTGAATTTTGGATATGATTTAGCGAGTTCCAGATGAAGCTTATAGAGTTCATGTTCAATTTTGGACAATTGTTGACGTGTATCCCTTATCACGGACCGAAGTAAGGCAAGCTTGCAATTTAACAGAATTCTTGAAACGCGACTTGAAGGTTTTTGATTAGATTTGATTTGAATAAAATTGGGGATCAATTTTTTACATTTACATTTAAGTAAAAAGTCAAGATGATTCAGGAATT